TACTTAAAATATACATAGAGAACACCCAGACCATTGCAAACAATCACGAATACAAATGTTTTCATTCATGATTGAAATTGAACTAACCTATATTCTGCCATTCCCATAGAAATTTTAGGAACGCTTTTACCCGTGTAATGATGTGCCCTGTGTTTTCCGTTATCACAGGCGAGTGTACCAATCCATATTAATGTAAAAAATGTCCTGACACCGACTTGGTCTTTAAACCAAAACATACAACAGTTATACGCTTGTTATGAAAACAAACATAAAATAAGTCCAATTGAGCTTACGCTGAAGAGCATGTTTTTGCATAACGGCACTGGACTTCTAACAAAACGTGTAATGTTGCATAACAATATGGCATCGTTGTGTACTGTAGATTAAATATCTCATTACTGGGTGCAACCTACTTACCTATATAACGATTACTTCCGAGATTGACCCCGGTCAAACCATTTTCGTTGAACAAAGCCAACAATTGCATTGTTAGTAAAGTTTAAAATATTTCCGCTTTGATGCTTCCAAATAAATATATCGACCACTGCAACTACAAACAGTGGACAAAATAATTATGCTTATTTATATCGTTACGTGAATGTTTCTTTTTGAATATATAAATGTATAATACAATTGTATAAAAATTGTTGCATTTTAATCTTTTCATGTAATTATGTTCTCAAATTAAATTTATTATAGTAGTTGTATGGGACAGAGGACCTGAAATATGTTATTAGTAAGTAGAAAAGATACTAAGACATTTATTTTTATTCATGTTTAACTTAAATGCTATGTATTAATGGCGATTACGTTTTAATTAAGCCACAACATCATATTTTGAAGATTAACTAAATTTCTTTCAAGTCGATGTTTTCAAATGTTGTAGGTGATTCTCAGTTATTTATCAACAGCTAATGTAACATTATATTATTTCTACAAGCCATTAAATATATATAATTGTAAAACAAAAACAAATGTTCGTCGTGTTGAAATAATTACAAATATAGAATGTGAGGTCCAAATACGACCTCATGAGTAGGAGCCTTGTGGTTAGACCACAATAAATAATTAGAACGTAATATTTAAACCCGACATGGGGCTGTTGAACAGAGCAGACATGAAATGTAACTGCATACTTATTGTATGAAGTTCAACACAAATAGAAAACCACGGGACTGTGTATAATGAAAGGATGAAAAAATGGAAATGAAATACACCGTAATTTTTACTGCGGAACAAACTAATAAAAATCTAAGATTCAGAAAATAAAAATGATATGATAAAAGGTTTTCTGGAAGAGACTGCACAATATTACTTGTGTTAGTAGTTCGCATTTTGTACCTTATTATTCTGTTAATTATGATTCTTGTAATGTATATCGAGTGTAATAAAGAGTTAATAAATAAATTTAAAAAGAAGACTCAATATTGCCCTAGTTGATAGTTTACGCGTACAAATTGAAGTATACATACAGGTTGCATAACCGGCGTACCGGTCAAGTCTCCCTGCTGATAAACTGTGGAGTGGGCAGAAAGCGTCCACTCATTGTTCTTGGCGGTGCGATCATCGCGACGCATCGTCGACAGTTAGGTAATCGCATCATGTAAGCGACAACTCATGCGCACCGCTTATTAGGTACTTTACACGCGATTCACAAGCAGGAGGCTTACCAACGATCGCTGCAAATATCTGCCATATCAAGAATTATAGATGTATCTTGTGTATGTCCATAGGCAATATATGAAAATCAGTTCGCCTCATGAAATCGCAAATAATCTACTGGGGTGCTTCCCGTGCGTGCTTTTTTAATGTGAGCGATGCAAACACACAACTTATATACCTATATATTGCAATTTGTTAACAACTAAAGTACTTATGTTTATTTTACTGTGTTTTCTGTTTGTCCTCTTACACCAAATTGAGTTCTATTGTATAATAATAATTTGGTATACAAATAAAAAAACTAACTATTTTTCTATGTACTCTGGTGATTTTATTGAGAATAAAACACAACATTCAAGAGTGTTATATAAATGGTATCAGCGTTAGCAACTAGGTACCCTGTCGACATATAGAAAAACGCAACACATTTTATTTGGTATATTTGAATCCAATATATTAGCGGACGAAGCTATCGCCATTTCTCAGATAGGACTGGTTTGTTATAGGTGTTTCCGTCACCGGATACTCCGGTTAGAATTTTATTATTTTGGTTTCGGTTAGATTGGACCTCTCATGACCTTTCCGCATGGAATCTGTTGACATATTGACAAATCAATACTGCATGCTTCGCTTACAGAAGATCTCGGATTTAATGTTCGTCATCGTATAGTTCTTTTTGTATAATACTAGGTCAGATTACATTAAAAGGACTTTTCCTAATTATTTGTTATTGTGTATTATGTTAAATATATCAAAATGTGACGAAAAAGTAAAAAAAAATAGTTTGATACTAACCTGTATTTTAGTGAAATTAAGTATTGCTTTATATTAATACTAGCTATCCCGGCAAACGTTGTTTTGCCATATAAATTGATAACGCTATAAAAAAATAGGGGTTGGTGATAGAAAGGTGAAAGGTTTAGGGTTATATGTATTTTTTAATGACACATAATAAAATTATAAATATATATAAAAAATTTTGCCCAAAAAAAGGGTGGACATCTCTTATCACTTAGGGGTATAAAAAATAGATTGTAGCCGATTCTTAGACCTACTGAATATGCATATAAAATATCATAAAAATCGGTCAAGCCGTTTCAGAGGAGTATGGTAACTAACATTGTGACACGAGAATTTTATATATAAGATTATAACTTTACATTAAAGTTTTCCAAACGCTACACACATGTTTTTGCAAAAGTAAACTCATTCAAAATTTAAAGTGTTATTGTAATACATACTGTTATATTTCTTTGTTATCTTGTAAAATTTCCTTGAAAGAAAATATTAGCTATATCTCTTTCTATTTATATATTAGCGCCATCTATAGCATTACGACTTAAGCAGTAATCTCAAGAATGCTTTAGTATGTAATATTATGTTATCTGTGCTTTAGTTCAACACTTTTAAATTTTCTTTGCGTATAACATTGATTCCAATAGATGGCGTTATATGTTACAATATATTTAACTGAAAATTATGAATGCACGTAGTGGAAGTATAAATACATATAGGTAATTTATATAAATTTAAAAGATCTAGCAAAAGTAAAAATTCACTGAAAAAATAGTGTAGAATAAAAATATTCTTATTCTATGCTACTGTAACGTAATAATGTCTACTCTACCTAGCTTTGAAAATCTAGAAAAAAATATTTCATCGAAAATCTGATAATATCACATACAAAAATTAATGGTCACTTACAGTTAATGTTTAGATACATAATTTTATAAAATAAACAATTTCAAATACTTATATAATTTACTTAGAAAACACTGATTCTAACAGAGATAATGTTGAATACAGATTATAATCGAATCCGTCGGAACCATCGGAGGCAAGGCGTGTTAAGCCGCAGGACCAGCGAGGTCGTCTTTGTTAATACGATGATTTATTGATTTACTCATATACCCATGTACTTAGCGTCAACTTACACATCTATAATAATTTCTATGTATATAACAAGTTTAGGTTGTAGGGAAATGGTTACCAACCAAACGGCCGTGACATATGGATGTTCGATTTTGGCCTTTACTAAAAATGTTCTGTGACCGTGAAAGCAAAGAAATCTTATAATTTATTGTGTATACTTACCTAATAGTACGAGTATGTATAAAGTGACCATTTGATGTAGTTCTCATGTATATATTTTTTTGTATATTTCATTTTGTTTCGTACTGTTGTGAGGCGCGAAACTAACTTAAAAGCCACTCTACAATATGTAAGTAATTAAACCATATAGATGATATAGATATATAAAACATGTAAACATATAGAATGTGATCTTTATGATTGAATTTGTAGGAAGATTTCGTACAAAGTTTCATCCGTAGTCACGAGGACCGTTTGATAAGGTGTGCCTTGGTTAAACGGTGAGATACTAGTATTATAAAGTTCGGAGGTATGTCTGTCCATCTGGAATGCCCTCAATAAGCGGTATGGTATACCACGGGTATTACATTATCTCATTATGATGTCCGTGGTGTTCTTTATGTACATAGGCTTTTTTATGGATGATAATAAAAAGAGACACCCGTCTGGGTTAATCGTTTACGTTGGCGGGGTCCTCGTGGAGGACGATGAAAAACCACGTAGGTCAACCTGACATGGTACATTGTCAGTAATGGGGTTATTAGTACACATTCCTAACAGTCCTCTCCCCTCCCTCCCATGTACAACGGTCACCACTTGCCATCAGTTAGCCCGTCACTTGCTTGCCATTCTAGTTACATAAAGATAATTATGGTTGAATAATAAAATATATATTAGAAACAATAGTATAATTATAAAAAAACAATAGCTGAAAAATAATTAACATAAAATCAAATCATATTTAAAAAGTTAGTTGCGAGTGATTGTATCCAAAGATGCTAGCGATGAGCGTTCTAATTGTCAGGTATAATAGTAAGTAGTTTTATATAAAAATATCTTAATTACCCATATAACACAACCACGCATTAATTAATAACTTACTGTTTTTTATACACAATATTTACATGTCAGATACAAAGATCTTAAAATAATATAATAGATTTATCTAGAATTAAAGCTATCAAATAAGAAGTATTTGAATTTTATAATTTATAAAGCTCACGAGTATGGTCACAACAATATCTGTAAGAATAACTTTGGTTTTACACGATAGTTTGGCTTCTTGATCAACGATAGCTTGGTAACCTTTTTGTTTATCACCATAAATAAAATTAACAGTCTTAAATGAGCCTCATAATGTAGTAAAGAATTTTATTCTAAAATGCCGCAGAATAAACTGTACTTTTACTTAAAATGATTTTTTTAAAGAAGAATGAAGATAATATGTTTACTTAATACGCCTGAATGTACATGCATTATTCTTTAATATACAATAAAAAAACATGTGCATTATGTTATCTTTCTTATTCCTTACAATGCTCTACGTCGATCAGTCAGTCTTGTGCATAGTTGACTAAAATAGCTCAATTTTGCTTGCAGCTCTCTTGCATTCGTTTTCAACCCGAGTCACAGGCTTGGCTCCTGTATTTTTTAACATGACCTGTTGCGTTTTATCAAACGAACTAAAGAATGAAAGATGTGCGAACTAGTTCAAGTAGTTCATATTTGGAAGCGCTCTTCCGAACTAATGCGTTCGCGAACTACATAAGCCTACAGTCAGGACATACACATGAGCCTTATACTAACTGGTAGATATTGTCATGTCCAACAAAAATTAGGTACTATGAATATAAAAAAATTAAGTCCCTTTTCCATACAACAAAGCTGCGAATCAAGGTCATCATATATTTCATAAACATTTTACGTATAATTTGCTACAAACTCTTAATTGAAAATAATGTAATCTTAAATGTACAAATTAACTACTACTGACTTAATAATTAGGCGTGATCAGCATATTTTATTGTCAGCAATTCATCCCTACTTATGTATCCAAGACTAGAACCGATAACGTTGTTTTATATAAACTAATGAAAAATATAATATCACATGTATGTTAAAACGAATACCCTCTAATAATATATCAGATTATATGGCCTAATTTCCCTTGGTTTTGTCTAGATTTCTATAACTATTACGTCATCTCTCTATCTTGCAAAGAGGATATTGACGTTTACTCTTAACACCTAATTGTCCTAATCTGGAACATCTATTTGACCTACGACGTCTTTTTTGTAGCCATATTTCTTTGATCATGTCAGCACCCTTCTCTCCAATCATAATAGTTGGAGCATTAATATTCCCATTGGTGATAGTAGGCATAATACTAGCGTCTATTACTCTAAGTCCTTCTACGCCATAAACTCGCAGCTGAGGATCAACCACTGCCATAGGATCAGTAGATGGTCCCATTTTAGCTGTGCATGAAACATGGTATATCGTCATGGTGTATTGTCGTATAAGGCAATCCCAATACTCGTCTGTATATAGTGGAAGGTGTTTGCAGTTTGGAACAGGTTTGCTGTGAAATCTGGCTCCAAAACGCTTCATTGCTTGAGTTTCTCCGACAGCTATTGCAGCCTTAACACCTTCTCTCAAAACACCGACATCATCCGGATGCGTTAAATAATTGTGGAACATTAGTGGATAATCAAAAGGATTCTTAGATCGCAACTTAATAAATCCTCGACTCTTTGGTCGAAGCATCATAGGAAATATACCGAAAACATCTTTATTATTAATTTCAGCAAAGACTTCATTGTAAAATTCATCAGTGAGACTATGAGCTTTTTTGACCTGCGTACCACCATCTGAATTTGTTGAACATGAAGTCATCATGAATTCAATATCCGGCCAATCGTCAGAGGCATTTGCATACTTGGTATTTATGAAGGCAACTACTTCTAATCCAATGCTCGAAGTCAGAGGCCCGTCTTCAGTAACAGCATAGCGAAGTGCAGAATTTATATTTACCAGTCTATTCATGACTAAACTAACTGGGTAGTCTATTTTAAAGGCTAGACCACCTACTGCTATATGATCTTGTAAGTTTTTTCCAACACCAGGAGAGTCATGCAAAACGTCGATGCCAATTTCACGAAGATGGCTTTCAGGTCCAACTCCGGATAGTAAAAGAAGTTGAGGAGATCCAATTGATCCAGCAGAGAGAATCACTTCTTTTTTGGCATAAACAATTTGCATCTTACCATCTCTAAAGAATTCCACACCATATGCCCTCTTGGTTTCTTTATCTATCAATACTTTTGTAACGTGTGAAAATAGAGCAATATGAAGATTTTGACGTAATCTAACTGGACGGAGAAAGGCTTTCGCAGTGGAACAACGGGTTCCACGCCGTATAGTTAACTGATACCAGGCGTAGCCAGTTTGTTGCGCTCCATTTACATCCACGATATCATAACCCATTTCTTCACCGGCTTGAAGAAAAGCTGCACCGATTGGTGTGTTGTAAGGAGAGTCTTGGACAGTTAAATAACCACCTGAAACCAACAGTTCATTGATTTATTTCTTTACTCTACAGTAAATAGTAATAACACGTTAATAATTTATTTAAATTTATGTTGATGGTCAAGAGCCATGATCACGACCTTACTACACAACCTGCCTGCACCTCATTAGTTACGTCACAATCATGGCTCTTGAGTGAATTAAAATTCGACGCCTTCAAATAATAATTATAGTATGTAATATTATGTTATCTGTGATTATAGTAACATTAAGTGAAATTTTTAATGTAACTGATTATAGTTTCGGTTATTATTTTGTTATACTAAAGTCAATAAAAGTTGTCTTTTTTGAGACTTTTTGAGATTTATCGGACAAAATAAAATAATGCACTATTTCAAATAAAAAATAACATCTATACAAAAAAATATAGAAAGTAAAATGTATTATCTTTTCTAGTTCTGCCTATTTACATTGTTCTGCTCTCCACATTGCCCGCGTGAACTCAGGTTACAACTATTATTAAGTAAAAAATATTTTAATTATGAATATCTAAATTAAAAGTGGTACCATGGGTGCATATAAGTGACAGTTGTCCTTGAATGTCAGATGGCCTATCAGCTTGGTTGCCACAATCTATAATTACTATAATTACTAATAACTCATAATTACCTGTAGAATGATGTCTAACATCTCTAGCTAAATATGGGTTACGTTGATCCATTGACTTCTTGAAATATGGCAGCACGTCTTCATATCCCCAGCCTGGATTTCCGAACGACTCCCATTGGTCGAAGTCTCTTTTATTACCACGTATATACAGCATAGTGTTGAGAACCGACGAGCCTCCGAGAACTTTCCCTTTTGTCCAGGCACAACGTTTATCTATCATGGCTTGACATGCAGTGTCCTGTGGTTCTGTCCTGAAATTTTAATTGACTTTATATAATGACTAATTTTCGTCATCGTATCAGTGGAACAAATTGATTGACCGGAATTGAAAGTTGCGTCTTTTATGTAGTCCTAGTTTTATGACAATTAGTTTAGACGATAATGAGTAAGAAACAAAGAAATTTACTTTTATTTTATAATAATATTTTGTAAAGATTCAGATATTCATGGATGGTACATATTATATTTACATGATGGTATACAGTACTCAGTATATACGTACATGCAGATTCACATCTAAAGTCTAGATTTAGGACATATTTGATCATCATACAGATGAGATTATGTCTAAAGTTGATGCAGATGCATATTATATATGGATTACCACTTTCTATTCCGTAATAAAACATTTATTCATTTTCAAATTTCTATGACGATAAAAGAATATGAGTAAAGAGTAAAAAAAAGAAAAAAATGGAGCATACCTATATTTCCAATCCAATTTACTCTTGTGTAAATACAATGACAACAGAGGTACATCAGTTATTTCAGTCTCATGTCCACCAGCTTCTAACAATAGCACGTTCCATCCCTCAACTTCAGACAATCGATTTGCTAGCACCGACCCTGCTGATCCCCCGCCTACTATCACAAAATCGTAGGTCTCTCGAAGAGTGTTTTGATTGAAAGGTCTATTTTCGGGGTCTATTATATCGTAGTTGAAGTATGCTAGGGTTGCCAGTAATAGTGGTATGAAACTCAGGGTGCCGACACCAGCAATCGTGAGAGCCGACTTCGCGGCCACCGAAGCCACTGTCCCCAGAGCCATGGTTGTATCAGTCCAGCCTCATTTGTACCTGGAAATGAATATTTCAAAAAATATTTACAAAAATATTGTTCGACCAGTAAGTAAATTTTTTTATATAACAAGAATGGCAATTAAGCTGATGGCCCACCTGATGGAAAGTGGCAACGGTCATTTACAGATATAACAGAGATACTAGAGACAGAGTACTATCTCTATACAGAGATATAGAGATCATACAGTGAAGTGATGATGACACCTTATGCGTTGCCGTTCCTAGAACCTATGCCTTCGTAACCTGTTATTTTACTGTACCTAAAAATAAACAAAATGACCATCAAGCTACTGAGCGTTACAAAACAGATGCGACTGACTTATACAGATAACTTTGTGCAAAATTTCAATCGGCTAATTGATCAATGACTAAAACACAGGTTACTACTAATATTGACTGCAGGTCAACTTTATAAACTAACCTTTCCAAAGCTGACTTAGGAAATGCCGTTGTGTATTTCCCTATAAAAACAAGTTCGCCAGTCGTGCTATATTAGCTGAATTATTGATGCATGTACTTGTTTATTAGTTTAATGATGAAGGTTGCCCCTTCTAATACAGCATAAGGCTACTTACTGATACTAATCGTGTATACATAGAATTATAAGACAACAGCTGGAATCGAAACTTCTAACATCCGATATGTTCTTGTTTTTTTTTAAATTTCCACAAATGGCTATTTGTGTTAGAATTTTATTTCAGATTTTATAAAAAATCTGATTAAAGTTATAGATATATAGCCATTCTTTTTTATCACATAAAGTATCATTACATTTTCATTGGTAGCTAGTTACTTTAATAACAATATAAAAATACAAGTAATATTTATTCCTAAGTATACCATAAATTAACATTATATTATAACCAACCCATGTATAGAATAGAAACAACGTGGAAAACAAACCCTTCCATTGATTTCCACGTGTTTTTTCTTTCCACGCTCACATTTGCTAATTGTATTTCGTTATAAAAAAATAATATTTATTTAAGAATATAATGAGGGACTAAAAAATCAATTGCGGTATGACGCCTTCGTTCGTGCGAAGCCAGATCTGATTTGTTGTTAACTGCACTTTGTAATATTATTTGTTAATATACGAGTTCCAGTTAAGTAATTTCCTCTATTTTCGAATATATTGCTAATCTATTAAAGTTATTGTCGGCAGTAATTACAATTACATGAATTTCTGAATAATTGCTATGAATTATTTTCGACAAACCAGTTTCATTACAAATTTTTTAAATTATTTGTAACATTAATTTTTATACAACTGGAATAGCAAACAAGCTGACTGCACCTAGTAGTAAGCGGTAGTCATCGTCAATATACATGAACAACACTTCGTGCATCACATTATTATGTGACCCATGATACCACTAATGCGTTGCAATTTTAGAAATTACGTCAAACGCAATACAGCTCACAAGAATAGCTGCTTGGTGGATGGAAACGTGAACATAAGGAACCCATATATATATATATATATATATATATATATATATATATATATATATATATATATATATATATATATCTCTAGTTTATTTTATATGTAAATATTTATCAAATGTCTATAAGTAATCTTAGATTAAACTTTGCTTAATTTGGAGTTAGATGGTGCTATATGAGTGGCGCTAGATTTGTTCCAAACTTTTTGGTGACAACAAATTTAAAGACAGTATTATGATAATACAAAATAAATATTTTATCATAGTTCTGAACATCAGTGACAATATTATGATGACATTACTTCCATTGAGTAACGAGAAGTAGAACAAATATGATAGTCATCCGCAAACAGAGTCAACGATGAGTGTAATTGCATATGAAAGGCAGCAAGCACCTTTCGCACTCAGTACAGTATTGAATACCTATATGTGCCATACGATACTCACGTAACGATTATGTAAACACTCCTTGTCACATGGTAACACAATCATTGTTCACGAGTCTCGACCTTAAAACGGCATAGGTCTAAAGGCATTGCGAAAAGTCTTACCTTACATAGTTACTTGTTGAGTTTCGGTTCGAAGAAGTCGATACACGGTCTTGAAAGGTGTTTCAGCTCGCTAGACAGTGTCAGTATTCAAACTGAACCAGTTTATATGAACTGTTCTTTTTTGCATTCATAATATTACATTTACTGTTAAGGAAGATCTACTATTTTGCAATGGATCTATATCACTGATATATCTATATCAGTGTGTAAAATGGACGAGGACACAAACATTAACTTGAACCTATATCTTCTTAAACTACGAATTCAGAATATTTAAATAATAATTAAATGTCATATTGAAAGTAAAAATTCTTGCGCAGTTTTATTCAAATGTTTATTTAAATGGAAAAGTAGTTGCGTAGATTCAATTTAGAATTACTTTTCATAAGAACAGTGTCCAATGTTATGATAAAAAATTGTCTTTGGTCATTGTGCCACTTGCGCCGTCTATCTCTGTCTATGGTTATGCTTTCAGATAACAATCAACAGTGAAGATTGCAGGGTGCAAGGTCGTGAGAGCACGGGTTACGTGATGGTTCGTTTAATAAGGACAAAGAGCGCATAAACATTAATAAATTGAGGTCGTATGTAGACGACGTTATAGTCGTTATGGTTGCATTACGAAAGGGCGAAGGGACATGTATTGTCAGAGTTGGTTCATCATCCATTTATACATATGTATGAATTGATGGGATAATGGACACTGACTTTTAAAATTTCATATTTAGTAAGGAATTTAGTTCATCAATGCCATTGTGCACCTAATTGTTATGAATGATTTTCTTCCAAAAATATAACCGGAACACTCGTATGAATATATAAGAAGGTATATAATAGTATTGTATAAATATAAAATTCTCATCTCACAATGTCTGAAACGGCTTGATCGATTTTTATGAAATTTTATATGCATATTCTAATATGATAAGGGTTGTCCACCCCGAACATTTATTTTTTGGACAAATTTTTATTTATTTCCTTTTTATAATGTGGCATTAAAAAAACACAACTCAAAATTTTCATCCTACCTTTCTATCACCAACCCCTATTAACCCATATAAACTAAAATCGCTATTAAAAATAGCGATTTTAGTTTATATGGCAAAACAACGTTTGCGTGGTCAGTTAGTAATATGTAGTATAGGCGTAGTCCTAAAGGGGCTTGCTCAACATCCGTTTGCTTCGGTTTTGTCTGTTTACTTGTCACTTCTGCGCAATTTGTTTGCAAGAATTTAACAAAAAAATCGTTTCATAGTTCCAATGGTATTGTGTGAATAGGAGCATTACTTTCCGTTCAGTATGACATTACTAACACTTCATAAACTCACATGATTTACCGTGTCATTGTTACAACAATGTAACAATGTCTGCATCATGTGTACGCGACTAATTCATACGGAAATACATTTTATTTGAATTTTATTAGAACATCTTTAATATGTATTAATTTATCGGATATCCGAATCCGCTTTATGCCCGATTTTGAAGGAAAGACTTCCTTTGAGAGACCTTGCTTTGAAAAGAGATTCTTAATTCGGCGATATTATTACTGTGCATATTCCATATGTCTTCAAATGAAACTGCTCTATCTTTGTACAAAATATTAGTATTGTACATATACTTAAATAAAAACAATTATCTTTTTTTAATATACAGCGTCGCTGTACTTACTCTGTAGTAATCTAAATAAATAGTACTTGTACTTTGTACATTTCCGCAAACATCACGACAAAATGGTTGAAAGTATTTTACAAAAATTCAGAATATCAAATTAAAATGATATATTATATGATAAACAAAAATTGTCACAGGAGTTTCTTATATAAACTAAGTATTAAGAACAGACTTATCAAAAGTTCCGTGAGGACCGCAAAACAATACATCCAATAAAAATCTAAATGAAATATCCATAGAATGACGGAAAATCTTTGTTAAATTGTATAAAGGCCTTTTTACCAAACAATGAAATATTAATATTACTTTTAAATCATAGTAGCTGGTAACTAAGAGGATATATTAATAAATATATTATTATAAAACAATCATTAAACAATTAAAAACTGTATTTTGAAAAAATTAAATAAATACTTGGAACTTCCTTCACAAGGAGCTGTCTACCTGCTAAGGTCAGCAAATTTGTGATTGCAAACTAACTTGCTTACATTGACTGCAGTTAGAGTCAATATTAGTTGAATGTAATTAAAAACCGGCCTGTCGCGTGTTTAGTCATGTTTAAGGTAGGGTACCTACGTGTAGCTGTTATTAAGTAGTTGACAATCGTGATCATTTTCGTAGTAATTTTGTGTTTAATTGCTATTTACGTTCTTCAATTTTAATATTTAATAGAATATGTAACTGACAAATATAAACAGTGATATCTATAAGAGTATCATCTAATAGATGAAATAGAGAATGTATCTGTATACATGAATATAGAGATTTTTATATGGCACAAAATAGTAAATATTAACATTAACAATTTATAATATTTAAAATATAAATTTGTATACATATAGCTATAAACATTACATTTTCTTTTCAGCCTATTGGTTAGTTTTCTTTCAATTTTTTATCAGGCAAATAAAGAAAATAATTATAGTTCTTTGCTGAATAGATAGAATAAAAAAAAATTATGTAAGTAGTTAAACTGACTAAACTTATTATTTAAATCGATACTTACAATATGTCGTATTTTTTATTCTTATTGTGATCATAACTTGTAAAACTCAATTTTTAATTAAAATAGCGTGATGAAGAATCCGTAAATATTTCTCGTTGGTACACAGAAGGGATCCTATTAAAGATTACTAAAGAAAACGCATATAACGCGTTATAAACTCGACACTGGCTGTAATTAAAGCCACGCAATGTGAACTCGGTCTCACAGTAGGTAGGTTTGGTGTAAAACTACACTAGCATGGTGTATGGTATGGAGATATATCTGATGCACCTATACTTACCTACTGACTCCATTCATATTGAATACAATGTTTCGTCATGAGGACCGGCTTACTTTCACTGCATCGTGGATGCATTTCAAGCGCATTGCAAGAGACTTAGACCGAGGAAAGATTTACAGAGATTTATTGTTTATATTATTAATATTGTATTTTTTGTTACGATTTTTCTTTTAAACTTCTGTTAAAACATATTTACTGAACATTTAAACTTATTTATTACTCACTAAATTATTACTTAAATGACAATACCTGTGTATGCACAAGATTTAATTTAAAAAAGAAATTCAGTTTAGTTCCTTACTAATTCTTTTCGTCACATAGAATTAGCGCAGCCTGTGTGATAATCATGAAAAACTTTTCATAAATAATTAATAATATGATTATCATAAATCAAAGTTTTTTATGATTAATATTTTAATATTATTTTAGCGTATTCTTATAGGAAAATATAACGCATTCTGAGCAATAAGAAGCTTCATTTATGGAAATAATTGTAGTACAGAAATTTATATAGGTGTATGTACATATTTTTTATACATAACCCTGAGCAAATGAGTTTGATTTGCGCTTTGCCGGTTTTCTAATCCATACGCTGTTACCACATCAGTCAAGGTATATTCGAATAAATAGAGATGACTGACTATAGCATACACATATAAACAATCAAAGCCTTTAATTAGCACATAGGCAATTTTATTGCAATGTATAAGTGTAAATATTATGCAAGGACCAGTAAAGTTCAACTGTTGAAACTCGTAGTGAACTTCATGGCGTAATCACACTTGACAAAAATCACAACCCGGAAAATAAGTGTCTATTTCGTATCCAAAGACGTGTAAAGTTGTCATGACTGTGTCATCTATGTACACTTGAATACAAACTGGCCATATGTCTTACGTATTCAAAGGCGGTCTAAAGAAAAAAACACATGAATGTTCATGAATTGCAAAAAAAAAAACTACAATTTTCTTTACAATTAATGTGGATTAATTCAGTGTTGCTTCTATGCCGTTGTTCGTAGTCAATTTAATTTGACGGCTTCAGAAGCACACCGCTTTGCTTCCTATGGTCGCGGGTTCGATACCGCGCAAGGTCCAAACATTTGTATTCGTGAATATGATTGTTAGTATCGGTCTCAGTGTTTTTTATGTATGTTATATATGTATTTAAGTATTTCTATAAATTGTCTGGTACCCATCAACGAAGATTCATATCTTCCTCAATCTATCAGCCCCCACTGGTTTTCTAGTCTGATCAGCACGTCGTGGTGAAATCAACAAAAATTAACTACCATTGTTTAGGAGTTGTTACGAAAAATCCTGCACTTGACTTACTATAAATGTGAGCGAAAAATAAAAGTTGTCAACATACATATCTTCTTACTGGCTAAATAAAAGAAATATATACCAAAGAACCGACTAAGGAATCGATTACATAAATGATAAAAAGGTATTGTATTTCACATAAAACATTGCTAAATATACATATATAGGTATTCTTTCATATACACGATATAATATTTTGACATAACGTCAAAATAGTTTGTTTTTTATAGAGGTAACTACAAAAAAATATTTATAACTTTTTTAATTATTATCATTGCTAAGTTTTACATATCGTATAAAAAACCTGAATATCATTAGTTTTAATCTGACTGACACCAAAAATTTAATGTGAGAATTCGATTTTTGAAATAAAAAATGTATTTTTATTCTTAATTAAATTGACATGGCAACAGAAGGCCATGTTCATTTTACGTTGTCAAATGCAGTTATTTCTGGACAATGGCAATAGTTGACAATGCCTGTGCCCACAGTGACATCTAAATGACAGTTGTGAACATATTTATTTTAAATTTTGAATGTACGTTTTTTTAAATACAAATGAACTTTACCTTTCATTATATGCAATAACAAAGTGATGTACTGTCAAATTGAAACATTTCATAACATTACTAATGAGTTATAGCGTCAATAAAAATTGTTGTTTTTTCCAAATCATTTAAAAGGAATTCTATATTAGTGTTTCATATTATGTATATAGTTTTATTTTTTCAAGTTTTTGTTTTTAGTCTAACTGCAATTAATGGTACAGAGAAAAAAGACTTTTTAATAGATGAATATATAATAGTGCCCCAGGCTGTGCTAACAGTATTCATTGGCACCATTGTTGGATGACATCAGTAAACCCATTGTAGCATTCTCATCATGTCTCAGATAGTTTCCTGGGGTGACCTCGTAAAGGTCGATCTGATATTCACAGCTTATTACATTGCAAATTATTATAGTGTAGTACTCATATTAGAAGTAATCCATGCCCCGCAATGGGGCAATAATTCTTTTTTGTGAGGATATATTCATCAATATCATTTTATAATTTCGATATTGACATTTTTAGAAAAGTAATAGTATCTTATTACAAAAATTTTATAAATTACAAACTATTGCAAAATATTGCTAATGTATTGGAAAGATCATTATAAGTTCATTACAAATCATTATATATAATATTCACTTATTAGAATGTGATGTAGAAATTCAAAAATTACTAACCTAACTCATTTATTAACTCAAAATATATAAATGATAAGGAAATATGCTCATACATTGAACTTCAATATTATTGTCTCTATTAATTATATTATCTTTCTATACCTATGTAGAAAAACCAAAAATGAACCCGTTGCTCTTAGAATTTTTTTCACACAGTAATTATTAAACGAAGATGTTCTTATTTTTATTATACAGTCATATACATCTGTATACACTCAGAATCCAACAGGAGTAGACCTTTCTGTATCATCTTGGTTAATTCATTGAGTTACATTTAGCGAACAGTCAAAAGCTGAAATTTATCGCTTAAATTACTAACCGATCCAAACTACAAAAACAAAATTTAAAACAGTAAATAACAATATTAGAACATGTTTTTATGTTCTAGTTGTGTTTACCGTTCACGTAGCTTTAGACTAAAGTATTTGTTTATCTATCTGTCAGCGTGCTTGAACAACAAGAATGCTGTAATGTAATTGTATAGGACCATTTTAAGAATAAATTAAAACGATCTTATAAAATTAAATTAGTAAATTGTAAATGTAATATTTAAAATAGTAAATTATCTATAGATGCCAGGGATAATAATTGTAATCTCATAGTGTATGTGTTGTTAATAAAAAAATTGATACTAATTAGTAAAATAATTGTGTTAGTATCACAATTCAATGTTGTCAATAATATTTGGCGACTCTATATATATATTTATTCCAATATTATAACCAGATAAAGTATGAGGGGTTATAGGCGGTAATCTCTGAATATATTGAATCAATTTTGAAAATTCTTTTACCAATAGAAAGCTACGTTATTTGTGAATGTTATAAACTATTTAACATAATAGGATCAACGACCAATAGAAGCGGAGTTGCAATGAAAATTATTGCAAAAACGGGGAAAATTTGACACAGACGAAGTTGTGCGGGTTAGCTGGTATAAAGCATTTAAATAATGAACTAGAATATATCCTTATTTTCTATGTAATACATATTAGAAGTTGTATAAAGTCATTAAATCACTTACCACTTAGATAAGATATATTTGAAACTTTTGATTGGACCTTACCTGCCTAGTATATTTAAGCTACTCAATAGGTTCACCTGCTGACCCGACTACATATGTACTTGAAGGGTACATAAATTATTATTAATTTAGATAAAAACACTTTCACTTATCTAATATGTTAGTAGATAATCACCCACCTGATTCACTCATAAATCACTGTATCCACCGTCAGAAAATTCAAAACTTGCGCGCGCGTTCAATGCATGTATAAGACTGCGCGGGAGTTGTACCGAGTTTCACGAGTTTAGTGAGCTGTCAATGTTAATGCGCAATGTGCCTACTTACAATTCGTTAAGGATGACTTGTTGTGAGTTTTAACCTACTTCAAAAAAAAGGTTCTTTAATTACACGGTATGTCATTTTTTTTTCGATATGCGATATTCGCCTGAAATGGAACTGCTTTAGACTACTCTTTTTATTTGTATCTGTTGTCTCTTCTATTTTCAAGCAAATTTTTGTTCTCTATGACAATATTTTTGCAGTAACTTTCGGGAGAGGAAATTCCACGAAGGAAACCAGTTTTGACAAATATGACCGGTAGAGGAGTAAAAAATCATGACATTCGATTCTCGTGATTTATAGATCAACGCTTCGTAAAAAGCGTCTATGTCCTTCTCCATACTAAGTACTAATGTATGGCTTTAGCGTAGAAATGTAGGTTAAATACTGTACATTATTCTAATCCTAACCTTAGAACTCTATTGCTCAATTATGTTGTAATACTACACAGATCAAATAAATGTAACTCAAATGTGTTGATTATAGTGCATAAAGAACTTCCGATGTACTATAATTTTAAATTCACTATACGCAAGAAATAAGTACATAAAGAAGACTACTCTCTATTCAATGTGATAAGGTTCTATTGTACATACTCATTCGTATTCTAATGCTTAAATGACGTAATGTGTATTCTTTTTATTTGCAATATTTTGGGCAACAAAGAAAACCAAGTAAAAATTGGGAAATATAAGTAAATCTTCACACAACGCTATTTAGTTCCAAACTGAACAGGGCTAGTACTAGACAACTGAAGTATGTTATATGCGGATATTTATATTTGTAAAAGTTATATTTCCAAAAAAATAAATAAATGCAGTTTATAATATGGTTCCTGCTGTAATTTTTGATTTGATGTCGATCATTTCTTATTCTTTCTTTCTCTCTCCGGAGAAGCATAACAGAAATATAACTTGACTTACAAGTTTCTTAGTGTCAGTATGTAATATTATGTTATCTGTGGTGTCAGGCAGATTTGAACTCACAACATCTGGCGTGTAAGTCAGAGCAGTAAACCACTGGGTCACGACGTTTTCACGTTTATATAAACATATTTAATGTAATATTTGTATGTACATATTTTTACTTGTGGTAAAGGAAACATAGTAGGATGTGAGATATACTATAAGGATGAACAATTGTTTAGGCCTACGTGCGTATAAGCATGGAACGCGCCGTTTTCCGATATATTCGATGTTTGCGAAACGATATGGCGTAACAATTCATATTATTATATTATGTGCTATATTATTTTACAGTCATTATTGGAAACGTAGATGAGATTTTAATCAGACTGACTAGAAATTTAGGTACCAACAAATATATGACATCTTTGAGTTTTGTAATGTATAACATTTTCAGCGTATATTACGTATTTTACGTTCAGTCTCACATCAGTCACTGCATTAGAAACTAGCAAATAGATACAGTATATGTATAGCTAATGACTTAAGATAGAGTTTATAAAATTCTATCTTAAGTGATATACTTTACGAATCTAGGAATGAAATTCTTATCTACGATCAATAATGTGTGTATCTCATGTACACATTTATTGATAGCAGTTTATTATTTGGTTCTTCTTTATCCTATTTATTATTATTTCTATTCTTTTTATTAATGTTAACAGTCATCTCGTTATTCATTCCCTTTCTTGTCACATGATTTTGTTCAAAGTCCATCTCTCTCTTTTTTAGCCTTCTTCTTCTTCATTGATCATTGATAAGAATCCTATTATTTGATTCTCTCTGGACCACTTTCAAGGAGGAAGAAAGAAAACAACAGGGCATATACTAGAATATAGGAGTAGGATTATGTACACTATGACTCCTATGTCATAGTGTATGAATCTTCTACATAGGTGTTCCTTGAACAGGGCATGATGAGGTCGTGACCATTCATGGCTATGTAAATATATTGAAGTGAATTTATTAAGCCAACGTTTACCATAGGCAAAGTCACGCTACAGAGTACAATAGACGTATTGCACTATCGTTATAACGACCTACAAGTGACCCCCTACTCTCGGTTATCTTGTATTCCATACATCACACGTTGCGTAAAATACTCGTAGAAATAGAAATTTTTCTTTCACAATAACCCCGAAAAATATAGAATTCCAGATTTTATTATAAACTAGCTACCCGCCCTGGTTTCGTACGGATGTACATGTATTATACATATAAACCTTTCTCTTGAATCACACTCTATATATTGTAAAAAACTGCGTTAAAATCCATTGCATAGTTTAAAAGATCTCAACAAACAGACAGCGAAAGTCAGTTCATTTTATACTACGTAAAGATTTTATAGAACGAAGGGACTGTACTATTAAATTAAAGTTCAAAAATATTTTTTCATATTGGATTTTTGCTTTCTATTGTGTATCATATATGTATCACTTACTTACACTTCCCTCGTCCTGCAAGCTTCCATTGAGAAGACCCTAGACACTTTACCCACTTTGTATGTACAATGTGTGATAACCTTCTTCTCCGATTATATATATTTTACTTCGAACCCGCGATTTCATTCGCCGTTTTGCATCTCAAGCATGTGAAGTTCAAAAAGCACCAATGTTCAAATTTGGTGCAATGCAGTCAACATTGTACTGGATTTGAATATCGATACTATAAATCCAATAATTCTACTATGTTACATTTGCATTAAGGTATTACGGATTTCTCAGGATCTTTGACGATTAATTAGGAACATAAAATTAGGTAACTGTGAATCACTTATTTTTGTTCCCATATATTGCGTAAAGTTTACTACAATTAAAGATATAAAAATCAGAACAATGACAAGCTACGCAAATAAAAGCTAAGTTTTAGAAATTGGTACTCTTGTTATGAGAAACAAACCGAAATTTATTCTATCGGACTCCCTGTGCTGAGATATACATAATTTTAACTCAGGCGCGTGTTACTTTAAATAATTGTTGTATGAAATTTTATACAAAAATTATTTAAAGTAACACGGGCCTGCTATCTTACTTCTTACTAATATTATAAACGCGAAAGCTTGTGAATATAAATGGATAGATGTATGAATCTGTTATTCTGTCACCTAAAAACTACTGAAAGGAATTTGATTTAAACTTTACAGTAATATAACTTATACATCACAATAACACAAGTTATAAATTTATGCGGGAGACCCCGCGGGCTCAACTAGTTACTGATAAATTTGATGAAACAAAAAAATTAAAAAATTACAAGTGAGATAAAGCAGGGTACACACAGGGTGCAGATGTATGGCCCCTGAATGAACGAACGAACGAAATGAAAACCCGAGCCGAGGTTCGAACCCCTAGCGGTGCCCTCAGGCTAAAGTCGTATCCGTCAGGCAGGAGTTGGCCTTCAGCCGCTCCATAAGTCCTTCTGCGGGTTTGGAGTGCCATCTGCACTCGCCCCCTATCGTCCGGTGAAGCTGTAAAGGCCAGCTTCGGCCAACAGCATTCAGAAAAAAAAAATCAGGATGTCCCTTTTACTCGTACATTTCATTTTCTATTAGTATACGAGACTTGACTTAAATTGAAGAAGAAACTCGAAATAATTATCAGGAAATATGAAAATTTAGTAGTTCATTAAATTCTCGTACATAGTTATAAAAAAAATAGAATATATCTGCTTATTAATAATAATAATAATAGCAAAAAAAAATGCACTGATACCTTACCTTCCGTGATCCTTTATTGCTAAACACAGACTCAACCAACCTAAGATTGGTAATTGTCTTTTATAATTTCCAACTAATTTATGTAAATTAACATGTGAAATTTTGACGAAGTATTACAAACCTTTTTCTAATTGAATATTTACCTGTCGTATTGTATACACACATGCATAGAAACGGATATTATTTACTCTAACAATATATAGTTTTCAAGTGGGTTCATAAACATATTTAGACACATACATAATATAGAGAAATATCCAGATATACTCATGAATACAAATCTTTGTATAGCATGTAATTCTATGGAAATCAGTTGTGTTATAAAATCACGTAAAAGAAAAATAACAGACTACTGTCAGCCAAACTCGGAGGCCGCTGCTAGTCATTATATGGATTTCCACATTATGTCACAGTGTTAAACTTTTCTAACATGTCTATTAATACAATGACAATCATTGACAAATATTTCGTAACGTCGTGCCCTAGTCACGCCTATCTAAGCATTGACAACAAGGCTAGACCTGTGTTGCAATATGACTACAATTGGTCTTTTAGCGCTTTAATACACCTACCTATATTCTATAACTAACAGGTTTGATATCCCTATACAATGCAAATATTTGTATTCATAAGTATTAATCTAGGTGGTATATATAACGTTCTTATGTATATGTAGTAATACGCTAACAGAATCTGAGTACAAAGCAATGGCCACTCAAAGCACAGAAATCCTCGGAAAGGTGAGGTTGCTCCGTGGAGCCCGTGAAGACAATAGAAAGTTTCTACGCTTCTATGAAGAACTTGGCTTGCAATTCTAGTAATTTCAGCATGGCCTACACGAGAAGCCTAATGCAAAAAGCAGACAAACATATGTTACATTATTACATTTTTGTATATACGAATAATTAACAATGAAGTATTGACGTAAGTAATCAGTTGTCTAGTTCGTATAGTTCACGCATTACTAGTTTGAGACTAGATGTCACTATCTCAGCTATTCTAGTCAAGTGTCTTTCTATTTACATTACGAAATATTTAATGTATGTATACTGTTGTTATTTCTATTCTTATACGTCATGAAATCTGATGTACGAAATGTCCGCCATTGCATAGTTGGAAGGTTACATTTCAATCTATTACTACAAATAATCTATTTCTTTTTATTATTATTCTTAGTTTTGGATTAGTTAAAAAAATAAAGTTATTCAACTATCCAACGTTTAATTATTGTAACAATTACATAAATAATAACAATTTAACATATTAGCAATAAATTAATCAAATAATTTATAATACGATTTCATATTTTAGTCCGTTGTAGTATAACCACGCTTTACATTTCTGACCTTTTGGTGTTGAAATATTTTCAGTCTCATAATATAGTGGAATTTCATTATCTTTATAGCCGTAATAAGCTGATATTGGTTTTTGATTGACGGGAAACTTATAAGGTCTTTTGTTTTGTTTAACCTTAGGTCTTGATCGATTCATAACAGCTTGATACGGATTTTTCTTAGAATATCCTCCAAAATTTACCTGTGATACTAAATTGTATCTATCCGGTTCTTTCCAATAAGGATATGGCGTAAGATAATAAGGTATATTTCCGGTAGAGAAGTAGGGATTGAAATGATTTCGTGAAGGTCCCAAACCAGAGGTGGCCTTTCCATCTTTTGAGTTATGTATTGGAATGATTTCTTTATATTTAGCTTCATATTCACGAGCTATTAATTGCGGTTTAACATCGTCATCGACATTTTTAATGTTCGTAGGTTTTGCATCAAACTTATCTGTAGGTAAATGAGGGAAGAGGTTAGAAGTTTCAGTGAATACATCTGAATGTATACCAGTCAGGGTTATTTTGCTTGGTCCATCGCTTTCTGTGGTATCGTGCTGTTGTCTGCTATAATAAATCGGTGGACAACTACTTCCGTAATTTGCTACGTCGCTCCAGTCTTCTTTTATCATGTCTGAAGCTTTTTCGGCGATCATAATAACAGGTGCATTTGTGTTGCCGCTTACTATCGTTGGCATTACGCTAGCATCTACTATTCTTAGATTGTTCACTCCATATACCTGTAATTAAAGGAATATTTACATATAATTAAAGTTATTTATTTATATTAATAGAAGATCCTTCTTTATTTTTGAAAGTTGTTTCTTCATACAATTCTGATGTGTTAAATTAGCACTACAGGACACGACATCTGTCTTAAATGATGTTATTTGTTATGTATATTTAAAGTATTTCTTTAGAAAATATATTTATTTCTTTAGATATATTTATAATAAGTATATTTTGTCTAACACCATACTTTTATCAAGTCAATCGTATAATAATTTTATAAACTACTAAAATACTATAACAAATATTTTTTTTCCCACACAAGTTATTATTATATATACACTCGAAAAATATATACATAATTTTTATTTAAACTACATTTAAATATATGTAAGTTTAAAATAAAATAATAGTTTCATTCTATACCTTATTAAATTTGATAATATAATAGACCACTACATACAAATATTATAATTCAATATTCAAAACGTAATATTATGGACCTATCCATTTACAGATAGAGTCCTATACCTATACCTATAAATAATAGTATAATTTATTTAAATTGGACCTTTAGTGTACACATATATTTATACAAATTCTGATCAATTTCTTACCCTCAGTCTCGGATCTACCACGCTGTTAGGATTGTCGACGGGTCCCATAGCGCAAGTCCCAACAGGATGGTATATAGTGAGTGTATGATGCCTCGCTTGACATTCCAAATGCTCCTGCGACATCAGATCGAAGTTTGTACAACCCGGGTTTCTGTTCGGATTTGGGCGTGCATTAAGTTCTCGAAGAGCTGGTTGTTCAACTATTGCTTGGACAATACGGGCACCTTCTACCTATAATTTTATTTAAAAAAAAAGTGTAAGTAATGCATTCACTTTGTTTTTACACAAAATATGTGACAAATATATTTTAAAATGCTTACCATAACTTTTAGGTCCTGTGGATCTGAATAATAGTTAGGATATATTAAAGGTGGTGAATATGGATTTGCATCTTTAAGTTTCAAGTAACCACGACTTCTAGGCCTCAACAGCAGAGGTACTATAGAAAATGATGGATCGTATAAAATATCTTCATACAGTGCAGCATAAGCCTCATCCGTCAGACCATTCGCTCTTTTTCCAAACCAACCTCCGTCCATATTGTCTGCTGTGGAAGCTATAAATAATTGAATATCCGGATAATCTTCTGTAGCGTCCTGGTACTTTGTATTTACAAATGCCATAGCTTCAGCTTCCATCATACTGTACAAATATCCATTTTTATGTATTGCGAAATCTATCAATGTATTTAACATGTATGCTGTTTTTAAGTTAAAACAATAGTCTGTTCCATTATCATAAGGATTATCAAAAAGAAAAGAGTGACCACCCATAGCAACATGATCTTGAAGATTCTTACCCACTCCTGCTAGATTCACAATCGGATATATACCAACTTCTTTCAAATGTGTGGAGTCTCCAATTCCTGATAACATCAAAAGTTGTGGTGATTGTATAGCTCCAGCAGACAATATCACTTCTTTACTGGCTTTCACTATACGTTTCTGGCCATGTTTAGTAAATTTCACTCCGTATGCTTTTTTATATTCATCAATCAAAACTTTTTCTACCAATGAGTGTACACTAACATGTAAATTAGGTCTCTTACTTGCTGGTCTTAGAAAAGCTTTCGCGGTACTACATCGAAGACCATCGCGAACAGTTGCGTGAGAGCGGGTGAATCCTGTCTGATATGCTCCATTTACATCCAAAATATTATATCCAAGCTGTTGTCCTGCTTCTAGAATCTTCCTAGTTATTGGTTGTTCATATGCAAAATATTCAATCGTGAGCGGACCTCCAGTAGAATGGAATGGATCATTCTGATATTCTGGAATACGCATGTCTTCCAATTTCAAAAAGTAAGGTAATACGTCTTTATAGGACCATCCAGTATTGCCCATGTTGGCCCAACTGTCGTAATCGCGTTTATTACCTCTAATATACAACATAGCGTTCAAAACACTGGAACCACCTAACACTTTTCCGCGAGGCCATTTGCATCTCCTATCCACCATACTAAGACAATATTCATCACTGGGTTGAGTCATGAACTGCCAGTCTATGGATGATGTTTGTAACACAGGAAACAAAACGGGTATTTCAGATAGTACATTTTCATCTTGACCAGCTTCTAATAACAACACTGTCCATTCTGGGTTTTCTGTAAGTCTATTAGCCAATACTGCTCCTGCTGACCCGCCACCAACTATGATAAAGTCGTAACAATCGTTAAGTTTTTCGAATGGATGGTCTCTCACTCGATGCTCAGCATCTTCTATGTCTGGTCTGTACAAATGTATGGCCATTCGGAGCACAATCATAGCTCCAAGACCTGGTAATAATCCGAATATAATTCTGGTATTTGATAATACGGGCCTTAGTGACACATGACCGTATGTCGACATGTTTGCGGTATAAAACCGGACGAAGTATGTTTACAACTGATATAGAAATTAATTGAATGACTTCTAAATCAGCAGTTTGGTTGAGTAAGTCATTGTGCACCCGTTCGAGTTACGTCGTATTGTATTATGCAGTTCACAGAGTAGATTAATCATCTACCACTGACTCAATATTTGTTTATACAATCACATACATTATAAATTTATACAATTTTTAGCAGAGAGTTATGAGGATGATATCTACTACAAAGTGAAAAACCTATATTGTTATTTTCTATATTCTATAATATTATGATGCAATTTAGGTCAATGGGTAGTAATTGCAACTTTTTATCTATATATTAATATTATCTATGTATAATATTAATAATATTACAGTAATTAGAAATAATGCAGAATTGCTAAAATACACGCTCTACTCCACGATATATTAAATTACTCTGTAACACTTATTATAATTTATATATACTGAGTCAACAATTTAGCACGGGTGCATACTTCATTATGGCAATATGACCTTAATTTTGTATAAAACCTGTAGCTGTTTTTTATTCATAATAATAAAATATGTGTATAATATAAAATTTGTCTGAGTAATTTTATAACGAAATATTTTATCTTTATTTTTCGGTTTTTCAGCCAAATAATGCCATTGTTTCTTATAATATTGAGTACTTACTTATTAATATAATAATATCCTCATGCTCATTTTATTATATTCATAAAAAAAAATTTTTGTCCTCAACAAAAAAATATATTTACAGTTTCGAATAGTTTCCGTTCTTCAGTGCAATCAACACTAGACCACAAAGTATTGTAATATTTAAGGACTTTACTTTTGAATTAGAGTCAACTTCGTAATGATGTCGTAAAAATTTTATTAAATTCACAATCTCGAATAGAGTATTGGCAATAATTACACCAATTATTTGTTCTCTACAATAATATGAGACACATTTTATAATACACAATTATGAATTTGTGAAATGGTAGTGTAAAAATACCCACGCTACAAATCCGGCGTTAATCATATTTATAGTCTTTAAAATTTATTTACATTATTATAATATTAATTAAATAAATATATTATTAGGAATAAATTAACTATTTACAACGTAATACTGATATAAAAATTCCACTGAACACTTTGTACATTAACTCAGACGTAATATCTGGATCTTCTTCTTTTCAACCAAAATTCTTTGATCATATCACTTCCCTTTTCTCCAATCATAATTATTGGAGCATTTGTGTTACCACTCACTAATGTAGGCATAATGCTCCCATCGATGACTCTGAGACCTTTGATGCCGTAAACTCTCAATTCTGGATCTACGACAGCCTCTGAATCCCAATATGGCCCCATCTTAGCTGTTCCCACAGGATGATATATCGTGCACGTATATTGCCTAATCATACATTCCCAATAGGCATCTGTATACTTTTGTATATTCGCACATGCTGGAAATACATGACTATTAAGTACAGAACCATGCCTCTGAAATGCTTTGGTTCGAGATACAGCCACAGCGATTTTAACACCCTCAATCAATGTTTTCACATCCATATCATCTGTTAAATAATTCGGATATATATAAGGGTAGTCATATGGATTTGAGCTACGCAATTGTATGTAGCCTTTACTTTTTGGACGTAGCAACATTGGTATGATGCTCCAAACGTCCATGTTATTTATTGGTCGAAATACAGCATCGTAGAACTGATCAGTTAAGCCATGCACTTTCCGCAATTGCTCGCCGCCATCAGAGTTTGTTGAGCCGGATATAAAATGGAACTCTATGTCAGGGAAATCATCAGACGCATTGACATATTTAGTGCTAACAAATCCTAGGCCTTCAACTCCTCCCATTATAGTTAAAGGGCCTTCACCTAATACAGCATACTCCATCAAAGTGCTGACTGTGTGGAGTCTGTGTTCCACGATTGAAATTTTCTTATTAACCATAAAGGCTAAACCTCCTAATCCAATATGATCTTGTAAATTCTTGCCAACTCTCAAATTTTGTATTACTGGTATTCGATGTTTTGTTAATTCTTCCGCCGGTCCGATACCTGATAGCATCAGTAACTGTGCCGAGTTAATAGTTCCCGCTGATAATATTACTTCTTTCCTTGCCCGGATTCGGTATATCATTTTATTACGTATAAATTCTACTCCAAAAGCAATCTTTGTTCTCGGATCTATTAGAACTTTTGTTACGTAACTGTGCATGGCGATATGAAAGTTTTTGCGATCCTTAGCAGGTCGAAGGAATGCTTTGGAAGTCGAACATCTACCGCCACGACGAACAGTGCCCTGAGCAACCATAAAACCTGTGTGATTTTCACCGTTAATATCCCTATTCATATACCCCATTTCCAGACCAGCTTCTATGAAACTGGACACCAATGGAGTGTGATATGAAGCTTCAGCGACTGTTAGATAACCTCCGGTGCTGTGGTATGGTGTTTGTGCTAAATACGGATTTTTATTATCCTCTGATTTCTTGAAATAATATAGTACATCCTCATATCCCCAACCTTTATTACCCATAGACTCCCAAATATTGTAATCTTTTTTATTCCCTCTCAAGTAGAGCATGTAGTTTAGAACTGAGCTACCGCCAAGAACTTTTCCACGGGGCCAATTGCAACGACCACCTTCCATAGCTGGAATGTAAGGAATGGATTTTAACATATTTATAAGAAAAGAATACATTTTTTTAAATAATTATGAATAATAATTACTTTAATTTTTAATAATGTAATATTTTTTTCTACAAAGAAAAGCTAGCTTGACAAAATAGAATAGGTTCAACAAGAGGTAGTCTGTAAAAATGCATGAATACCTCAGTTTCACCTATATCAATTGCTTTGTAAGCTGTGTGTGTAAAGTTGTAATGTGTGATTTGAGGCAGTGAAATTACAGGATAAAAGACAGGACATTTTAGTCCTCTGAATGGCAATGAATGAGTGGTATTACGCGTGTACCATAATAACAGACACTAGAAAAACTATAAAGTTTAAAAATAGATTAAAACTCATCAATCATCAACCAATATCACCAGCTCTAACAAATTCAAACATATATTTTGATGAAAGAATTCCTATAATAGTTTCTGAATTTCCGATGATAAGCTTATGCATATTATGTATATATATAACGAAATATGCAATTCAGTTGAACTGCAGCTGCTTTCATTTTAATATATTATATTATATATAATACATAAACCGGTTGAAATTAAGCAGATATAGTTTTATAAATTTTTCAATTAGATTAAATCAATCTCTTCTGTATAATTCTTTAAATTGTAACAATATAACGGTTACCTAAGCAAGTCGTTCCTGACGGTTCTGTTTTATATTTCCAATCCAGCTTACTGAGCTGCAAATATCCAGCTAAAAGAGGAACATCAGATATCTCTGTCTCATCCCCGCCCGCTTCAAGTAATAACACCCTCCAGTTCCCAATTTCTGACAGTCGATTTGCTACAACGGCTCCTGTAAATGAATAAAGATAATTTTAGTTTATTATTTCTTGAAAACACCTTGGCCGATTTATTACCTCTAGTTAATAATAGTAATAAAATCATCCTTGACTATTTACACAGCGACATCCACTCCCAAGCTAAGCAGAGCTTGTGTTATAGGCATTAGACAGCTGATATAAATATTTAGATACATTTTTTTGTAAATAAATACATAATATACATAGAAAACCTGACCGATACAAACAATTATACTCATCAATACAAATGTTCGCACAGCGCATAGAACGAACCTGCAACCATCGGAAGTAAAGCGGTGTGCTAAACCGCTAGACCACTGAGGTAGTCAAACATAACTTTTAAAGGTCGTGGGTTCGGATACAATAGGCACGAAAAATCTTTATGTTTGACAGTATGTATGTATAAGTTCATTGATGACTAGTACTCACTGACCAGCGGAACCTGCTCCCACGATGACGAAGTCATATTCCGGTAACATCTCCGTATCGGCCACGTCTGCTGGCCGACCCTCTGGATCAGTCTGGTCGTATTGATAGTACGCTATGGCCGCCACCAACATTGGAATAAACCATGCCACCTGCAATTTAATACAAAATATTTTATATACCTATTATTTTAATTATAAATAATGCGATATATAATTATATATAAACTGATTTGTTAGCGAGTCACGCTTGAGTCTAAATAGCTGAATCGATTATGATGAATTTTATTATACACGCGTACATAGGGATCCTAGAAACGGTAAGAATATACTTTTTCATGCTTATCATGCAAATCCTTTAAGGAGTGGGATGAGCGTAGAGATTTGGTATGAGACTTTTTTACTTCCAATTTGCTTACACACTAGGATATTATTATTATTTGGAATGAATATTTAAAGTACATATATTTATTTTTTTAAATTACTGAAACAAAATTTATACAAGCTTCGCTTGCATAAATTTTGTATAGCTAAGTATATAAGTCACTTTGTGTGCTCCGGGTCTAAATTTAACTGCCAAATCTTAACCCTAAACCCGTTTTAAAGATTGAAATTTGGCTATTAAAATTTTCAATGTAGATAACTGATATTTTTTTATAGTTTGGCGTATTTATTGAACTTACGACCAGTAATATTGCGCCCTAGGAAGATCCTTTTTGCTCGTCCTAATCATTATTAATTCAAGATATTAAACGTATCTTAAATTAAAATATGGGATAATTTTAAGCGATAGTGCCATTGTATTGTTATTTAGTAGTGTTATGGTCACCATATATATGACTATAATTAACTTAAATTATAACCTACTAAGATTCTAGTGTCAAAGACTATGCGAGTATGTACCAATTAAATGACGCACTATAATTTAATTGATAGATTGATGCATATAGCATAGTCTTTGTCACTGGAATCTAATAAGTCTATTGTTTTTTTTATTAAATTAAGTAATGTATTTTTATGCACATTTATAAAAAAGTATTAGCATTCCTTCTCTATATAAACTATAAGTGTGCTAAATTTCATACTCCTCCGTTAGTGCAATTATCAAAATAAGGGGTACAAAGTTTTATTTTCACATAATGATAACTCGTTATGTATGATATCGTGATGACGTCACGAGTATTTTGACATTGACCGTGCAATTACCTGCGTACCTGCGGCTGCGATCGCCGAACCTGATATCACGTCGGCGGCCACGTTCACGATCGAACTCATTTTGCCACCTGTAAATTGAATTAATCAATGCATTAACGGTACATTGCTTTTCATTTCTTTATGTAATTGGATTAACAAGCTAGTGTTCCACTTGTTAGCAGATTTAATAATATCCCTAAATAATTCACACAACGCCATCTAGTTCCAAGGTAGACAGAGCTTGTGTTATGGATACTACATAACTGATATAAATACTTAGGCCAGAAATCACTTCCAATATTTCATTTCAGAAAGATTTAGCACTGACAATCAAAACGCTGGTTCATACGATATTTGTCTACTTCGCGAGTGTACCAGAACCAAACCAAAATCATGCAGCTAGTAAGGAGAAATGGCAAGCTGTGATAAGGCAGATGACATCTGCCTCTTACTTCACTATATAATGTCCACATCCGTTCTGTCAAGAGCGTCTCGAATAATAATATCAAATATGCTGAAAATATAATAATCTGACACTATTGTGGTGTTAAAATGCTGATAATGCATGAATTTATTAAGCTAGTTGTTACCAGGAATAGGAATGTACCTGGTGTAATGTACCGTTATTATCGATGTGCGTGCACTCTTGTCCGTATGACGTACGCGCACCGTCGCTGTCGCTTATACGTCGTAACGGTAGCCTGTTTTTGTGGCACACTTTTTGAGACACGATTGTGTTGTTAAAGTTTTCCTTATGAATTTCAGTGTTGGTATTTTAATTGATTATTTACAATTTCCGTTTTATTAACATAAATAGATAATCCATACTTGTATTATAAATGCGAAAGTAAGGATGTGTGTCTGTGTAAACGACTGCTATATTAATGACATTTGGCATAATTGATTGTACGACAAAGACGGTCATAGGTTATCTTTTGTCTAAAAGAGGCAGACGAATAAACGGGGAATAGCTTACACCTTAATGACTTAATCAATCGTAATACTATTTGGCGTAGGTATAGAAATTTGAAATGGGGAAGTACGTAGACTTCTTTTTATCCCAGTCAATTTAAGTAACCATAGTCACTCAAAAGCGTAAAAACTAGTGAAAGTGTATACACCACACTGTGGTAAAAGCTTTAGTAAAATTTCATTTGATATATACAACACAGTAATTTTTATCTTTTTATAAGATTATTCAATTGCTTTGTATAATAAAACGCAATTATGGCTATAATAATGTAATTTTTCATATATATATAACAATATAAAAAATAATAAAAATTTTGTTTTAATAAACTGCATCCTCCTTTCATACTTAAAGAGTTCTCATCTGTTATTTATGGTCAATCATAGCCAACTACTCTACTTAACAACAGATTACTTTTAAAAAATATAAGTCATTATAACTGATTTTGTTTTCAAATAGAATGAATACGTAAATGAGTTTTAACTTTTTTACTATATATAATATAAAACAAGAGAGTTCAATACCGATATTCTGAAAAAAAAAATTACGTCCTAAGCAGGTTCTGCTTATTCTTTTATTTTAAATAAACGCAAGTAATCTAACGATAACATACTCATTGGTTTCATACTTTAACATCGGAACAAGTAATGCGATATTGGCGTTTATTCGTATGGTAAATAGATCTACGCAACTCTACCATCCAAAGTTCCGGTGAAAACAACTGGTTGCATAACACCTAACGTAATTAAAATAGCGTACAGACTGAATTCTGATCAAGTTGATGGCGACAAGTGTAGCAGATTAATAAATTTAAAGATTTAATCATAGTCGTAATGGTTTAGGTTTTCTTTAAAACTATATCACGCAATGAAAACGGATGTGAAAGAGATGACTTCCTATTCAGAGGGAGTCTTTGTACAATTGACTTAACTTCTCGACAGCTATGATCTCTACTGTGACATATGTCTCGCTATATTTCTGTCTAAAGAACTTATATTTTAGTAGCAATATTTCAGTTATATTGCATGGTTCGGAGTCAAGACACGTTCCTGTTCAGGGATGGAAGCGCATAAGTTTCTACCACAGTCTCAAAAGCTAAGAAGATGAAATAGAGCAATTAAATAAAAATAAATTGTTTATGACAAAACCGGCATTTTACCGGGTAACACAGAATTATATATAACGGTAGTAAATATCTAGGCGAATCGAATACAATACTACAGTCTGTCTGACTCCAGTGTCCACTATATTTCGTAACATAACGGTAATTTAAATTATATAGTTTAATAAATAAGTTTCACGATCGATTATTCGTTATTTTCTGTATATTTTATTACAAAAATGTTAGGGATCCAAGTTCTACTTCGGATGCTTAGAGTTTAGAAGGGAACAGTAACTTTAACCATCAATTTTTTGTTATTTCATGTATCTTTTAATGTTCAGAAACCAAAGTTCTACTTCAAATTTACAATACCGATGGTTAGAGATTAGATTTAGAGAGACATATATAGATTTAGAGATTTAGATTTCATTAGTAGTACAGACCCAATGTTTACGTTATTTATCAAATCATCTTAAACATCCACACTTAAATCTATGCAGAGTGTAGTGCCGAGACCTTCTCCGTGAGAGAATACAATTAAAGTTAAGTAAAAATAAATAAACATAGTTCAATCACGCACAATAAATATCCGTCCATAACAAATCAGTGTAAGTTTGTATCAAAAGATGCCAGAACATACAGTTTTAAGTGATATCAGTCGGGCACACCGAAAAATACTTATAAATTGTAAAAAAACATTTTTATATTGTAAAATTTAATGTAATATCTATTAGTATGTAGTTACTTTATGTTATTACTTACTTCTTGATGAAATAGTGATCATTAAAAATATTGTATATTGCGTGAATTTATAATAAAATCTATTTATTTATTAGACTTACCTTCTCTAAATATTATCACCAAAACGTATATAAAACCAAACACATAATATCATTGGAATGTTTTCGATTTCACTTGTATAGTATACCATCTGATTCACTTTCGCTGTTCGTTATAAGGTACTTAACTACACCCTTCGCTTGTTTTTCCCACTTTATAATTTCGAAGCGGTATAGTTGAATGCTTACAAGCATGCTAGCACTTAGTGACGGGCACTTTCTTCGAGCAACGATCCCAAACTCGTCACGTAGCCCGTGGCTAGGTGAAATGGTGGGAGCATAAATAATACCACCAACATACAGATAGTGCAGCCATACATATGTTGGAGTCCTGTCACGTAATATTTTGAATTACATAAAAATATATTATAATTTTCGTGACTTGAATCATGTTTGTGTACATAAATCTACAACTGAGCAACTAAAGTATTCCAAATTAGATTACCTAATAACAAGTACTCGTTACTATTTTGTAATAAGTTACGGAATAGCTACCAATTTTGATTAGAAAATTATGACGACTATTGAATTGTAAATTGCAATATAAAAACTATTTATCAAAATTAGCAAGATATGTTTTAATCGTAATAATTATTAATATATTAAATACCTTTACTTAGACTTTAAGTATGCTTTTGCTATAGTTCTTTATGGTACGATACCTTTTAGTGTTGAAAAGATTTAATTGACACTGTCGTTACTTCTCAATGAAATGCGAGTCTAATTACTCTCCATCCTCAAAAAAGAATGGAGGTTGCTTGAAAAAGATCTACAAATATTTTTTATCTGTTTGAAATATCTATCTAAGAAATTAAACCTATATTATTTTATTTTGCAATTATTTTAATACATATATTTTATGCATTACTTCTTGTAATATAATATTATGTGTTTAGGATATCTCTGTATTTTTTTACGTAACTCTATCTCGTTTCAGGGGAACAATACATTGTTGTTTGTTTAACTTATATTTGTTTCTTCAAACAGTACCTGTAACCCTAAGCTGTGACCACAAACTTTCACCTGCTCTTTGTCAAGATCTCACTATTGTTTTATTTCTCCGATTCCCTGTCGACATTGTCAATGATTTGAATAGTTTGAGTTTTTTATATTCATATAGAAATTAACCAGAAATTAAGCCATAAGTAATTTTAAGTCGAAATATGTTCAAACTATTATCTTTACGTAAATACGTAATTATTAAAGTGACCTCAATTTATTTTCCGACAAAAAACTAGTCCTTTATAATATCTATTAATGTTAGTTACTATCTATAGTGGAAAGAATTTTTAAAATCTATTATTTATTTATTGAAATTACTCAAAAATCTCTCCTCCTTGTGTAATAATTAACTTAACTTAAACCCAATAATGTATTTTGTCATTAATGATAAGATGATTAAGAATAATATTCATTATTATTGGTGATCTTGATGTAACAAGTCACGTGGTCATAATATTATAGGTACTATAACTATTAATATTCCTATAGCTACAGCACAACACTACCACGACGTATCTGTTCCACTTTCTTGTTCCTTTTGAGTCATTCGGTGTGCATACTTTCCTTATGACTATTAAATTGACTATTCAGTTAAAAAAAATATTAATTGAAATTATCCGACCATTCCTGAATTAAGTTCTATAAAAACAATCACAGGAATCGTCGCGAATGCACAAAACGAATTCTGAAAGTTTAGTAAAGTATAGTATTTCAGGAAGTAGTTATGTAATAATATTTTAAATATGTTTTAAAACAAAATAGTTATGTACAGTTGCTAATATGTAAACACTTTAGTACTTTGTCACTGCAAATGACATTATTGACAACTTTATATATTTGCACATAGTAATACTAATATTTTTTTAATGTCACAAATTACAAAAGTGCACTACTATGTTACAAACAAGTCATACAAAACCGTACAAGAAAAATTTATTAATATGTTTGTAATTTTAGGGGTTTTTAGATACTAGGAATTATAAAAACCTTCGCTATTGAATACCTACCTATTCTGGTGGTCATCGTCACGTGAATATTGGGAGAATTTTAGTACTCAGGTGTGATGATAAAAAAGATAAATGACTAAAACAGAATAACTGCATAAACATTGTATATAAGCAATCAATATATTGCGAATTGCATAACCTATTATTATATTTGCACAGTACAAAAATAATAATTAAGAAAGTAAATTTCTTTCCTAATGATCCTGTTTTGATGCCGTAACACCGTTTCCAGTGAAAGTGTTCTATTACAGTACGTTATGTCATTGGTTGCTATTTCTACGGCTCGTTGAGTTAATAGTTTACCGAAAAAACGGTCTCCATGCGGTGCGTGTATGTAAATGTGGTCTCAGGTTCGGATCTTAAACGTGTTACGAACTCAACGCAGTATATAAACTGCATAACAGTTATAAAATAGATTTTGATAACCTAATAATCACTATAAAGATAATTGTAGGTATGAAACATAATAACTATGACATATGCATATTCTTTCATAATTATCCGTAGTACTTAAATTAATAACTAGCGATTCTTTCCATCAATTGTTCCAATGATTGCATATTTTTTTAGGTAAATTAAAAGTAATTATAAAATTTAATATTAGAAATAAATAATAATCAATGTCGTTAATGATTTTTGCAATAACTAAAGTTAATAAGTTGTAGAACAAGTTGATTCATCCTGAACAACTTTTTATAAATCAAGCTAGTATCCGCTAAAATGTCTTAAATTTGTTTTAGCGAAAGTTGATTCTTGAAAGTCGATGACATCCAATTGCGAAGAATTTAAACGATTATCATACAAATTCATTTTTATTATACGGTCACGTATTACTTAGATATAAATTTATTTCTAGAGTAATACCGAGGTAGACTTAAACGTACTTAGTCACTAAGGGAATTTCCAGAGTCGTAAAATTATTTAATAAAAAAAAAAAAAACAAAGTTTTATACGTTTATAAGCGTTTTAATTGAAGGGTGAGATATGGCTGAAATATTTCTGGGTACGGAAGACTAAGATATTATAATCTTCCGGAGTGATAACACATAAGGGGTACCACAGGCGTCACATGATAACATGATGTTCTGTTGTTTATGTATATAGAAGACGACTACTTCTTACCACTAGGAGAGCAATGAACTTGTTTACTATTTCAGTTACACAAATAAAATTTACCTGTATATTGATTCTTCAAATTTGAAGTAACTCACCTGCAGGATATGGTTTATAGTCAAGTCATCATATGTCAGACAAATAAGAGCTGTTTTACCTTATTTTTAGTACTGGGGTTATCCCATGATAATCTACTTCCTTCTATCTTCCTTCGCTTAACTTTTTCTTCATAAATGCCTTAAAAATAATAAACTTATTCATCATTTATTTTTAGAATATTCTTCAGCAGAATATAAGGCTGACTATGCTGTCTTTATCAATACTTATCTTACTTTTATTTTTTTCTTTATAGTCTACTTACTTACTAAAAGTGATGATAAAATTATTTATTGTTATTTTTTCTAACATTCTTCTAAAAAATATAGGGCTGAAATAAAGGCAGGCTCGAGTAGGTATTTAATTTCATGTATCAAGTACTAAAGTACTCATTTGTACCTTTCTGTTTCGAAATGATAATAATCTAACTGAAAGTAAAAGTTCCTGCTTAGACTGTGGAATAGACATAGGTGAATTTATAGAGCGCCTGTAACGATTAATAGTAGTCGATGACAAATATCATTATTAAAAGAAAAACTATCATAAATCGATTGATATTGAACCTGGAATCGACTTCAGATGTTTATCGAAATATGTAATAATTTTCATTTTAATTAGACTCTCATACTAATATTCCATTCCAATATTACATTCCAATATTGCTTTTAAAGTTAAATATTTCAGATTACTAATAGCAACACTTGCGGTATCGTAGGTATCACATATTTACCTAATCGCACTGCTGGTGTTCATGTATATGCGCGAATGTTGTCACTGTGGAACATCTGCGTTTTGACAATCCAGATACAAAAGATAACGAAATGGGTTCTGAAAATTATAGAACTAGATCCCTAGTCTAATATCTAAAATACCTGTAATGTTTATTAGGTGCGCCTCTAAAATTACATCTCTGTGGGTAGTGAAGCCACTAGAGTTTAAACTGGTTCTCCCAGAGGTTATTGCTTCGTGTGAGATGCCTACCTGTTTCTATTATTGTACTGACCTGTTACAATAAACGTCATGGTATATATAATATATCGTATAGCAAATTATTGTTATACTAGCTATCCGCCCTGATTTCTGAGACATGTATTTCTGTACATGTATTATATATATATATATATATATATATATATATATATATAAATCTTCCTCGTAAATCACTCTGCTAAAATTCGTTGCGTAGTTTAAAAAATCTAAGCGTATATTGGATGTCCCGGTAGTCTAGCGGTTTATGACACCTCCTTACTTCCGATGTTTGGGAGTCTTGATTCAGTTACAGGTCAAACATCTTGATCCAAGCTATCCTTAGAAAGGAGGTAAATATATATATGCTGCAAAAAGTATAAATGATACAGTGAATGTGTTTTGTCGTGACTATCAGTATTTTGCAATGGTAGTGGTTACGGCGTAGGTTAAAAAAGACTAAGAAAGCGGGTAGACAGATTATTACGTCCACCGCCATCTTAAGTTGACTCGTTACCAGAACCTTTTGTAACAGCGTCGAAATATTCCCCATATTTCGACGCTGTTACAAAAGGTTATGGTTAATAAATCACACTATAATGGTAAATATCCCGTTTATATAATGTGTACATGTGTACCCGCGATTTTGTCTGCACAAATTTTCATCCCTTATTTCACCCCCTTCCAGTTTATTTTCTAAGAAAAAGTCCATGTCCATCGTTGTGTTATAGTCTATCTTCATGTAAAATTTCATTAAGTTCTGATCCGCTATTTAGTCCTGAAAACATAACAAAACAGACACACTTTCTTATTTATAATATTAGTATAGACTAGCGACCGGTCCTGACTTTATACGAATAAATAAAATTGATAGACATCTACTGTTGTTACAGGTGGATGTTGCGGCTCCATGCAGAAGCGAACAATTGTGGGTGGTTGGGCATGGGCGTGGTGGTTGGTCACTGATGTCCAGAGAATCTCCCTCGAGGTAAGATTATAATTAATTATAAAACATTGTGCCTATCCAAG